GTGTTTGGTCTCGCTAACCACGATGATGAGTCGTGATATTTCTTTCTGAGCGTGAAGCTGGCGGAGAGAGTTGATTCAGTTCATATGTTCTCTGTCATTGATGACCGTTCACTGTTTCCTAGTGGAGACATTGAGGGAAGGAGTGCGATCAGAGTGGTAGTGCAATACTGTGGAAAATAAATAACAATGCTTAAATAATGAGAGGGTTTTATTTTGGTAGGTTTTAACTCGAGCTAACAGATAATTCTGCGTACTTGTATTGTTTTATTTAAAATATATATCTATATGTTGTGTTATTTACTGTATTATATTTAATTATTGTTTATTAAAAAAATATATATCTATATGTTGTTGTGTTTTCCTTTTACTCCAAGTTATTTACCTGTATTATTATTGTATTTTTTTAATGTATTGTTTATTTTAATACATAATATATATATATATGTTGTGTTAATTACTGTATTATTATTATTGTATTTATTTATGTATTGTTTAATTTAACAAATATATATATCATATATTGTGTGTTTCTTTTACTCCAGATTATAATTTTACTCATAAAGCGTATAGGTATTTACCTACTATTTATTCTATTTTATTTTATTAGTTCTTTTGCATTAGACCTCCTGTTGTTGTTGTTATTATTATTATTGTTATTATTATCAGTCTATGGATACTACTGGAAACTGAATTTCCCATTGGGGATGAATAAAGTATCTATCTAATCTATTATAAGCTTATCAAATGTACATTTTAATAGACATCCAAAGTAGCTTTAACCAGCAAAAACATTAAAATGTCCCTTAGAGGTTAATAAATCAGAATAATCTAATAATTAACAGTAATAGCATAACTCATACATATATTATGCATTGAGTAAGTACTTTTACTTTTGATACTTTGAGTACTTTTTCTCAAAATCATGAACAACTTTTACTTTGAATTGAGTATTTTTTATAATAATTTGTACTTTTATGTAGATAAAGGATTTGAATACTAACCTCCACCACTGTCTATCGAGTATATTTGCACCCCATTATCAAGAATCTTGTGTCAATATTAAAACTGGAAATGAGCAAACCACTTTTTTACTCTTTACTCAAAACTGAATTTCAGCTGAGACTTTAATTTTTTCAATAACACTTTCACAAAACCACATTTCAAATAAATCTCCGCACAGCACTCATCTTACAGCTGGAGTGACTTCTTAGCTCGCATAATACCGTTTTAGATGCAAGGATATTGTATTTAAAACCGGTGGAAATGGCATTGTTACTGCGGCCTGGCATAAAAACAACCCGCAGCATAAATCAAAAGTTTATTGCTGCGCTCTCTAAACCAAACTGAGTGTTTCTTCCATTACAGGCAATACAAGTGCGTGATTTGTTGTTGGGTTTATTGCCAAGGAAACGCGTGGTAAAGTAACATTATTTCCCCAGGCTTAAATACTACGCTCCTTTTTCTTTTTTCTGTCTTTTTTTTTTTTTAAATGAAAGTACAAATGTGGGCTTGTCTGCGGAGCTTTTTGTTGGAGTAGGCGGGTTTTTACTCCACCTGCCAAGAAGACCGCTGGGACAAATTCCACTCTTGCTGGCCTGGAGAAACACTCAAAACTAAACAGAAAAAGAAGCAACCAATGGGTTTTACTCTACCTTTTGAGTAGCCTTGGTGTTGAACCGTCCACTGCTCAGTGTCAGTGATTGACGTGAGAAACTGGAGGAGGATTTGCTCTGGTCTTTGCAGCTCAGCCTTCATGGTGCTGCTCATGCGGTCGGACACTTCAGAGGAAAAGGGATTCATTTCACTTTCTATCTGGTGGCTGTGGAGTTTTTGATTATTTTTTCTTTTTCTTGGAGTTTAAATAACATCTTAACACAAAGTGGGGGATTGTTAAGTTGCAGCGTTGTCGGCCGCACTCCCGGCATAAAAAAACATGACATACAAATGATGTTTAACATTGCTATAGATGGAGGGTCATTCTCTAAAAATCTGGAGGACTTCGACTCTATTCGCAGTGTTCTCCTCTACAGGTCAGTAAAGCATGTATGCAAGGATGGTGCAATAACCGCAATAAAGCTGTATTTTCTAGATGTTTAAACTTAAAGCGTTTGTTTGTCCAGAGGCACTTTGTCAGAGGGTTTCTGAATACCGCAGGGGATTTAAAAACCCCGTGCAAGCCTGCAGGGAGGTGGAGATAAAAGGGGGGGAAACTGAAAATGTGCATGTGTGAATTTAATATTTAGCAGATCCAAACAATTAATTATCGTTGCTGTGACACTCAGTAGTCGGTTTCGTGGCTCTCATACATTTTACCCCTCCACGGTGATCTTATTTTGATGCGTACACGTGTTTCAAACACTTTCAGAGCGCCGCATTTGAATAAAACGCAGAATATAATTTATTTTTACAGTGTTAAATCGATTAAAATTCCGATTTAAACGCAACACGAGCAGGTGTGCGGCGTTTATCTGTGTCGTTACTGCATTATTTAACGGGACGAGCGACCCCGTCCAACGCCACATAACGAAACAACACCGCTTCAGAAAGCTTCGGCGTTGTCAGGGGCAACTGCGCCGCCAACCAATCAGACGGCGCGCATTCGCGTCACGTGGCAACGGCGCTCGTCAGCGGTAACAACATGGCGACGGAATATAAACCGGCCGTTTGACTGAAAAGTTGTCGGTTTGTTTTTGTTTGTTTTGGGAGAAAAAAAAAGCGACGTGTGATAAAATGGCCTTCGCGAGTTTCCGTCAGTGTGCAGATAAAACTCCTTGTAGCGGTGAGACGGAGGAAGATGGTGGCGGGCACGACGGCGATAGTGAGGGTGAATCTGCATCGAGTTTCAACAGCTCCGACTACTCCGAGTAAGATAAACAAACAAACAAACAAACAAACAAACAAACAAAGCACGGATGACTTCCAGGAGTCCGTCTGCAGCTGCTTGAGGTTGTGTGAGCTCAGCTGGCTGTGTGTGAGGAGGAGCTGCTGTAGCTTTAACAGTCATTAGATGGTTTACATTGGATAATTTACACTCAGAGGATGTGTTAAATTGCTGCTTTTGATCATTTATTTACACATTTAATCTAAAAACATAGTGGTTTTAGTCACTTGTATGTGTCAGGCCAGCTCTGCAGAAGAGGCAGTGTCTCCTCCTGTGTGCTTTTCATAGCTTTTGGGGAGTGTTTTTCAAGTTGGGAGGTAAACCGTGATAAATAATTGTATGCTTCCTGCCATCCTCAGTACATTTGTGGATATCGTGCTAAAGCTTTCTACCACAGGTTCTTCAAAGCGGGTTTAAAAGGAGAGAAACCAAAAGAAAAAATATCTAGTCCCACCCTTTTTGCTCCAACGTGTCATTACTTCGTACATATAGAAGTTTTTAGTGCATTTATTACAATATACACACGAACAATAACCGATAAATGCTAGAAACAAAACAGCATTTCTGACTCGACCTTGAAAGATAGTGACAGCAATTGTCCAAATTGTGAATAATATTTAAAATAGAAATAATTAGTCGTGTGAATATGATGACAAACAAGTACAGGCATCTATTGTACACTTAACTTTAAATACTTCCTTTGTTTTGTGTCTCTCGATGTTTGTTTCCGCTCAGTGACCTGGAGCCAGAATGGCTGGATGACATCCAGAAGAATGGCGAGCTTTTCTACCTGGAGCTGAGTGAGGGCGAGGAGGAGGCCGCGTTGACCCACGCCGCCGCCAACCAAGCCGTGTCCACCAACCATGTTCGCTTCAGCGAGAAGGAGGCAGAGATCATCACGGAGCAGAACAAGAAGCAGCGATGCGGCTCGCGGGCAAAAGGTGAGCCCACGCTGAAAAGGCTAGCCAGGATCCTGAGGAGAAAACGCCGGCCATCTCAGCGCAGAGGAGGAGGGAAGGATGGAGGTAAAGACAACTCGACCTTATCGTCACCTCCAGCTTCCATCCTGAAGAACCAGCCGGGTCAGAGGCAAGGTGTGACGGTGCAGCAGCAGCAGCTGAAGGAAGTGTGTGTCTACCTCAACCCTAAACGTCTCGGAGGTCCATCGACACCTCTCTCTGACGGCGGAGGCCTGTTGGAAGCGCTGCTGGGGGTCGTGCACCGGCCCTCCTGGAGCAGAGGGCAGGTAGACGCTGCGGTGGTCACACGGGAGGAAAGACTGACTGTTCACGGGTTAATACCCAACAGCCCGGCCGTCAAATGTGGCCAAATCCTAATTGGTAAGACCATAAAAGTCCAGTTAGCTGTTATCAATTATGCAGAACGACAAAATATTATCATAACCACATTTTTTTTGTGTTAGTATGAAGATCTCCTTAATCAGAATCAGAATTTTGTTTATCGCCAAGTAGGTTTTTGCGCTACGAGGAACGTGACCTGGTGCAGTTGGTGCATAAAATATACAAATATACAAATATACAATTATTTAAATCACACAAAAATCACACATCATTGCGTAAAATGGAAATAAAAACACACAAAAATTCACAAACGAAAAATTAAAACTACCTTTTAAAATATAAATAGATAAAGATAAGAAGAGAAAGCTCGTAATGTAATACTACATCAATTACACTGAAAATATGTCTATTATTTACAAGTTATTGTTCAGGCTTTGTCTCTTATTAATGTTATCGGCCTTCTTAACAGCTCATGGTCTCCTGTGGTGTTCAGGAGAGGTCAAGAGCTATTCTAACCTGTTAAAAGGTTCCTGGCCGGGCGATGACATGCACACACACCTCAGTAGAAGAGACATGTATCCGAGAGACTTGAGCTTTAGAGGAACGTTTTATTTAGATAAAAATAAAGTATTTTTTATGACTGAGGCTCTCTCCATCTTCAAAGAGAACCCATTCCCCTCACGGCAGGGAAAATGCAGCTATGCAGCAGTTATGATTTCAGTAACAGTCATCTGTAGAGTCATGAACCAGCACTGACTCATTCATTTCCACACCACTCAAATCCACTGCTGCCAAAGCACGGGCTGCAATTATTACAACACACACAGAGTTCTCTAGAAAAAGAGCCCAAAGACTAAATAACAAAAACCTCATCAAGTCAGAAAATGTTAGCCATGTGACTCATGAACTGTGTACACATGTAAAGGTAGTTAAATAGATAAATCTGTTATCACTCTGAAGGAATATCCTGCAAGAACTAGCCAAGGTTTGGGAGTCAGACTGTTTCATTTTTTTCATTCTGCATTATGTTGCTAGATATCGCCAAGCTCTTTCACTTTGTTGAATCCATAGTAACGACTACAAAAGGATAGAAATCATTATCATAGTTTCAGTTTTTCAGCCCCGTGTTGTAAAAAACCACAAAGTTCTTGTTAAAACTGCGTTCAGGACATTTAATAGCTACTTCTCATAGCCAACTCTGAGGAGCAACCGTATTCAACCCTAGTGAAAGTTTCAGCACATTTTTTCAGAGTGAATGAAGCTCTTGAGTGCAGGTCTGGTCCCGTAGAAAATCTGCCCGTTTGAAAGCTCGGCTTCAAGTGATTTTCTTCCATCAGGGCTAATGATCGGACAGTTTTTACTAGCAGACAGAGGAACGCCAGTTGTGCTTCACCACAAATGACTACCCACATCAGTTACTGTTTAGAAAGCTTTTATGCAGTGCAGCTCCATGCTTAAGCAATTAGAGCGGTTAAATACCTGAAATAGCTCCGTTACTGAGATGATGGTGAGCCTCCCTGCACTCGAGCAGGTGAAGCTGTTTATTGGCCCCTTTACTGGGTCTGTTTCATAGGTCAGAATTGATACAATCAATCAAATTATTCTAAGTAGTGTTCTTACTGACCATGTAAGTCAAATGTACGTTTGATTACCGACCAAACACAGGTCAGATGTTCATAATAAATACTGCTCGATGGTGGATCTTGTCGGTATTAGCCAGGGCACACTGTCTCTAAACTATATACAGGCAAAGTTTGGTGTTTTTTTTTCCGAGGTAACAGGACTGGAGTGCACCAAAAGATGAAGACACACTGCTTTGTTACAGTACAAAACTTAAAAAGCTGTTGTTTTTGTGTCAGTGTTTTTCATTTTTGGTGGAATTCCCTGGACACCAGTGTGCTTACTTCCCTTTGTTTTCCCATTCTAATAAATTAGTCCCAACGTCTGTGACTGTAAGCTGGTCAAACATGCACTACTAGCATTAGTTATTCTGTAAATGTTCCTTTTCTGCACACTTCTTTCAGGTGACGTGCTTCTAGCAGTGGACGATGTGGACGTGAGCTCAGAAAACATCGAGCGGGTTCTGTCCTGCATCCCAGGACCAACACAGGTCAGTGTGCGTAAAGCTACTAAAGGGACAAAGAAACGCTCAGTCACAACTTGTGTGCACACAGTTGTGTAGTTGTCAGGAGCCACTGGCTGTCATGCTCTCTGCTGGCCTGTTTGTACCCTTTTCCATATTGAGTTAGCCCTCCAAATCTGTACGGCAGCATTAAGGTCTTGTCACAAACAGCAAACTTGGACATTAAATTGCTTTGAATTGGTTCTAAGCTGCTAAAATGTGAATAGAAAGCAGAAGTCAGCGCCGTTCAACATTAGAAAACCCTCAATTACTGAGAAATGATCCTTTGATCGGTTGCTAAAAAATCCGTCGTCTGTGCCTCGGTCGTGTATTTTCACTGAAAAGCAGACCATCAAAAAGTAGGAATTCGCAAATGACAGAGTGTGTACGGATTGATGGCGAACACGACGGATAGACGGGACTGCGGTGTGACTCTTTTTTCGGTGCCACAGGAAGCTGTTGTGGGATTGAAAGCTCAGCTGATTAGAAGATGTAGTCGGGAAACGAAATTACACTGTAGGGAAAGAGCGAGGGAGATTTTTTGGAAAAGTACAAGGTTCCCCAGGCACCACGATGACTCTCAGAAAAACTTGAAATAGAGTTGTATCGCTGACAGAATGATTGTTTCGTGTGAGTGTGTGTTGGGGGATGTTTTTTCTGTGTGCCAGCCCTCCCAGATGGAACGTAGACGGTACGTATTATGTTTGTAGGAGCAAATATTAGTATTAAAGTCAGTCCACCGTGCCCTTTGTAACCCTTCAGTTACTCCTCTATGTGTGTGTGTCCGTCTATGAGCTTGCGCTAAATGACTGACATCAACAGACTGGAATTCCAGTGAGAGCACACTCCAGTCTAACCACATCCTTATTATTTATGATGAGAGAAAGTGCTGCAGTTAGCCCACTGAGCCTCTTTACTCAGTGATTTCCCGAATTGGAAAGTTTTCTGCACTTTTTCAAGTCTGAATTTGAAGCCCCTTTAGCTCAATCTAATCAAAGCTATTTCTCGCATCCTTTCGTGAATCCTTAAGAATTTAGGATACGGTGGCTTTAAATCCATTTTTATCTCTCACTTCCAGCAGTGAGTAAACCAGTCAGAGTCACCAGTTGAAAAAGGTACACATGGTGTTCCACCACTACGCTGCTCTTCTTTAATAATACCCCTAAAATTGGCCAAAATGGCTGGCAGCCCAGATGCAGGCGCCTGCTGGAGAGGCGGGTGGCCTGTGGTTAGTGCTGACAGACCTTGGAGAGTTCTGGGAGTGATCGTTGGATTAGAAAAATACAGTTTCGACATTTTTGACCAGGGGAATATGATCTTTTTTTTAACATGTATTTGGTAGCTTGGTTTTTTGAAAATAATGCTCACAATACCGTTTTTATTTTTTTGCTTACTGAATGTCTGTGTTAGGTTGGTTGCAGACACACATACAATGTCTGGGTTAGGAACTGAGATCCCTTTTGGGTCATCCTTTCCTAAAACTATGTGTCTAAAACAATGTAAGCGGTCATGGAGTTTTCAATAAATGGCATATTTCACATTCTGTGTTACAGTCAAACACCGAAATGTAGTTGGGGCGTGTCCAGTTAAGATGTGGTGGTTTTAACTTATAACTGGATCTGCAAGGTCCACGGTGGTTTGAGGTCAAATCCCAGCAGCAACCTTCACTGTTCTGCCTTCCTTACTGCGTTTTGATTAAATGTGTCAGTAAAGGAAAACTCCTCAGACGTACTGTATTGTCTTTGTAGGATATTTCTCATGCGTCAGGGTTGCACAGCATTATTCCTCATAGAAATACCTGATTTGTTAAAACGCACGTAGGGCATTTACTGAAAGAAAGGTAGAGCCTTTATCGTTCAGGACTCCTAATCACTTCTTTCTGACCTGTGATTTCAACCAGAGATCTTAAGCACATTCTTTTAACCTTTAGGATCCAGCTGTTCTTCCTCACATCTGGACTCTGGTTCTGATTTCCTTGAATTAACATCAGTTCAGCTCCGTAAACGGCCTCTCTTGCGCTGACAGGTTTCAGCCCAGAGTCAACACAACGTGTGAACAGGCATGCCACTGCAGTTTGTCGATAATGTGCACCTTGTGTACTGTGTGAGTCTTCCGTTGTGAGAGAATTTTCCTAATTGGTTTGTGTTTCCATCAATTATATGCAAGTTTAAACTATATAATAAGTGGAATGTATTTTGTATAAACACAAAATACCAGCATCGCCATTAAATTGGGGTGTTTATGATGTAAAGTATATAAATTTGCGGTCTTTGCCTGTACACAACCTCTACAAAATATAATCTGATGTAATGTACAAGACCTAAATGAAGCTTTGACAGTTTGACGCCACAGAGTTGCAGCTTCTCATCCTTCTGGGCATCTTGACTGCATGTGTTTCCATGTGCGTGCTTGTTGGATTTCCATGCAGCTCTGTTTCTGTTTCCACTGTGACTTTCTATGAATGACAAATACTGGGGTATGGAAAGTCAAAAAATACTGCATGAACGAGAGAAGATAGGCCGTCTGTTGTCTTGCCACTGTTTCTTTGAGTTGCAGCGGTCTGGTTTTAATTTTGTCAGACACACTCAGACAAAAGCACACACACACACACACAGTTCCCTGCTATTTGTTATGCTGTGGTTGGGTCTGGATGTCGGTGTCACTTTCTCTCTGACAGTTGCCATCCTGCTTTTCACGTTTTAGCCTTTTCCTGAATGAATGTGTAAGTTTTTCTCCCCTTTGGAAGCCCCGGGCGCACTGGCACACCTCTATTTTCCTAAAAACAGACAAATGAGCACCGTTAAAATGTCTTTCCAAGTATAATCATGTGGAGCCATAGTGGATTATTTTTAGAAATGAATGAAAAACTCTTGAGTGGGAATGGCAGGCCGGCTGATGCAATGATATTGTAACAGAATAAATGTTTCTTTCCCATATGGGGAATATTCTCCTTTTAATATTCTCCTTCTCACTATTTTTTTTTTCTCCAATTCTTCTTTTCTCTCTGCCTTTTCCTTATTTTCTCGTCCTCCAGGTGAGGCTGACCTTGGAGACGGTGGCTCTGGTGGACGGCAGCGGCACTAGTGACACTTCATCGGCCCGTAAGATGAAGGCCTCGCCACCAGTCAGCCAGCTAGTGCGCCTGCTGTGGGGGGAGGACACAGCCGAACTTCAGATGTCCATAGGACACATCCCGCATATTGTCATGTACCTCTCACTTAAACTGGACTCAGCATCACCACAGGAGGAGGTCAGTTTGCATACAATGTATGGTAGGACGTTTATAGGTCTTTACAGCATTCACACTTGACAAAAAGATGTGTGAAAATAAGCTCGAAGCTCCACACTATTAGTTCCTGAGATATAGGAAAGTATAAATTGACAACCTACAAATTTAAAATGCAAAATGCCATGATTATGGTTTCTGTCATATTACCCAACCTGATTTAAAGATTGAGGCCCCCATAGGCTCCAGATGTCTCTGTGGCGCAATCGG